ATTCAGCAAATTCCCCATATCTTCTATGGAAACATGGATGATGTCTCCAGCTACTCCTCTTGCGAAACCATTCTCATCTCTGTAAACACCATACTCGTCTTTCTTTTCCCATAAGAACTGACGAATCCCAGATTTGAAAGCTCGTTCCCCAAATTCCCGACGTATATCGGTCGATGTGATTCTCCACATATCGATCGATATGTGTTGGAATGTCTGCAACGTCTTCTTTGGAGATTGGAATGATTCTTTCTTCCATTTCTCGTGCATGGCCATCGGATCCCTGAAAATACCAAATTCATCCGGAATAAGTAATGTAAAATCGAAATTATGTGTTTGTACCTCGGATGGTGTAGTGGTAGGATCGGTTGATAGGTTGGCATATGCATCGGTCAATAGGTTGAGAGACGTGTCGATCGACGGATGTTGTTCCGTGTCGGTTGATACGTCTGCATCTGGTGTGGTCGCATGCATCAGTGGTGCTGTATCCACTGCGCAACTTTCATGGTAATTGCTTGCCCAACTCCCAATTGAGTAATCTTCGTCTTGTGACTCGTGTGCGACATATAGGTTGTCGCTCGTTGATTCGAAACGTCGTTTGAGTGTTCTTGGTTGGGGCTTATCAGTCGATGAAGGGTGGTCTCTGTCGATCGATGTTATGAATATGAAGGATGGGAGAGAAGGTCTTTCTTCATCTTCCCGAAGAAATCTATACTCCGTGGCTCGTTCCTCTTCATAATCTTCATCATACTCCTCCTGAGTAGTGATACTAGCCAGTTCTGGGATGTAATGATCGTTCTCCCAATCATCTGCGTTAAAATCGCCTTCTGGAAACTCCTCTTCGATCTCTTGGAATAGCCTGTCAATCGATGACTAGGTATGCTCATCGGTCGACTCCGGTTTACTGGTATCGGTCAATATTGGAAGGAGGCTTCCGTCGGTCGATACGTCTGGTTCTGTCTCGTACTCGGCCATGGAATCATACTCGTGGGTACAGAAACAAGTTGCTACGAGTGTTGGGCTCTCTGTCCTTGGAATCTTGATGACTTGAACAGGATTGTAGTGGATGGTAGGGTCTATGAGGGTTAGGCAGAGCTTATTGGATTTGAGGTCACAAATAGCTCCAACTGTTGCTAAGAAGGCTCTTCCAAGCAGTAGAGATGTCTTGAAGTTAAGCTTGTTCTTCAGGACGTGGAAGTCTATAAGAATTAGGGCATCTCCAATCTGTACCTCAAGGTTTCGAACTATGCCTCCAGAGTGCTGCTGAGAACAATCCACAAAGATGAAAGATTCTTCAGTAGGCTTTATCTTCAGACCTAGATGGTCTGCCATGATCTTGGGTAGGATGCTAACTCTAGATCCTGTGTTGCAGAGGCACGAGGGAACTCAACACCTCTTATGAAACATGGTATTGTGAACTTCCCTGGATCGCTCTTCTTCTCCAGTGTGATCTTCTTCTTTAGACTGTCTCTGACTTGGTGAAACATTCTCTAGATGTCTTCTTCTGTCTCTCTGGTTTCTCTGAAAAACATCCACAATCTGTGTAAGAAGTAGGCTTTTTGAAAGGGTTTCTCTTTAGGTATTCTCAGAGCTCTCTTTCAGATTAAATCTAATGGCGATCTTAGTTCCCCGGCAACGGCGCCAAATTTGATATCACTCAAATTACCCGAAGGAGTGAATTACTCTCTCAAATAAGAGGTTCAGTTGTAATACTTAGGGATCGAATCCCCAAGGAACTAAGGAACACAAAAGATATAATCCTAATTGATTATGCTAGGTTGATTAAGATTTAAAAGTAAAGTGCAGTTGTGAGCAATGTTGAGTTGCTTAAGAGAATTGGTTTAGGTTTTAAACAGTAAAAGAAAGTAGTTAGATTCAAGGTTGCTATTCAGATAATCAGGATTATAATGCTACAGATGTCTTTATAAGTTGCTTGCAAAATATTAAAGAACTTCAACTCTTAGATAGGCCTATTAGCAGTCGCTATTAGAGTAGCTAACTAGAGTATGATCATGGAATTATTTAACTTGTTAACCATCATCCTAATAGCGACTGCTAATAGGCCTATCTAACAAGTGAATCTACTCAAACATGGCTAAGTGATTCATAGCAACAAGGTAATAATAGAAAATCATTAGATTAGAAGATTGAACTCTTGGTTCTTTTGAACAACAAATCTCTTTGTGTGTTCTTCTAAATCTTGAATTCTATAACCTTTTATGAAAATGAGAATAAGATGAAAAGAATACTTTTATCAATCAAAGAGCTAAGAACACAAAAAGCATTCAAAGGTAAAAGCATGCAAAGCTTTTTGAAGTACAAAAGGCATAAAAAGCATGTATAGCCAAAACACATATGCATAACTATAAATATGAGTTCCATTAAGTTAAAAAATCGTCAGGGAAAATCTTGTAAAATTGAGAGAACTTGGGCTTCAAGGTCGAGTCAAACTTGTTCTTCACGCTTCATATCGATCGATGGTACATGGTGTACATCGATCGATGGAGTATCTCAATTCGTTTCAAACAACACCAGAAGCTAAATCAATTCCGGGAAGGGTAACACTAACCTGTAAAGCATTGAACTCCCTTGCTAACGTGAACCTTACTCATGTCTTTTCATCCATTCATGTAAATACAGAAAGCTAGAATATATCAAACGGGGGCTCTTGAAGCATCCATCTGACCACGCAAAGCCAGAATCTAAAGAAATATCAAGACACAGAAGAGACAGAACAATGAGACTGGAAAAACATCAAACAAAAGCTTTATTTGACCCAATCTTAAGTTTCATCGATTTCTACTAAAATTTATTACCTATAACACAACCATTATCTACCATAAACCATGACATTTATTACTGATATTCAACAATGAGAATCAAAAGCTTTTAATCAATTGAAAAGAAGAAAGAGAAAATCTTATATGTATTGATCTTAGATAGAGGATTGATTATCTCTCCAGAGGATTTTTGATTCTATCTTCAATGGAGTCACATCTACAATTCAATAACTCAGAATTAACCAAAGCTTTCTCTCAAATTTCTTTTTTTTTTAAAAAGCTCAACGATCTATGTTTTACCTTTCCATTCGGCTGACTGATTCTTCATCCAGCTGAGCCATCAAAATAGGGATATAAGTTTTTCACCTTCACCAAGAGAGAAACGCCGCATGATTCATCGTAAAGGAGAGATGAAGAAAGAGAGGCAGAGTTGTCGAGAGAGAGATAGAGGTTTCTCACCATCGACGAGAGCCACCGAGATAAAGACATCGTATGATTTATCATTGAGGAGAGATGAAGAAAGAGAGGCGGAGTCGTCAAGGTGAGCCGTCGAGAGAGAGGCGGAGACCATTCCACCGAGAGAGACGCCGATTGCTGAGAGATGAAGAAGCACCGGAGGATTCGTCGAGGAAAGGTAGATCTTTGCGTAGTCATCGAGGAAGGAAAAGAGACATAAAGTGATTTTGTTGAGAGAGAGAAAGAGAAGAAGAAGCACACACCTACACGTGTCTCACAAGACCCATCTCTTGTTGGCCTTAACTAAGATACGTTGTTTGTAATTAAGCTATTTTCCCTTTTTTAATTCTGATTACATTAAGATACGTCTTAAATACGTCCAATAGTGATACTCTTATCCTAGTTTTTATAGTGATAAAAAAATTCATGAAGAGATATTTTCAATTATTTAACAGTTACTAATAAATCGATATCTCTTAAATTCACAACCCATAATTCATGTTGAAACGTTAATTTCTCATGAATTAATCGTGGACTGGAGTAAGGGCTTAGACGATGTGGATTATCTCCTATATATTAATTGAGAATCATTTAAAAAGTTATAACTCTAAGTTTATAAGAATTAAAAATAACCTCAATCCTACTTGGCATAGCTCTTTGACTTCTATTTTAAATTCCAAGGATTCTAAAGCATGTGATATAATGTATAGTTTAAAAATTATATTATCTAGCAATATAATATTTCGTATGCTATAGTTGGTCGCATATATCAAATATTTATTGTTTCGCATGCTTTCCTTATATAAAACCTACGGAATTACCTAATGTGATTAAAATATATATATGACAATTAATGATTTTAAACAATAAAGATTTGATAACAATATGTATACTTTTTTTTCATTTTGTTTATTTTTTTATTATTAAAATAAATTACATAATTACATTAATCATATAATAAAAATCTAGATTTTCTTTTCTGTATGTTGTATTTCGAATTTTTCAAAATGAGTATAAATTACTAAAACTGTTAAAAGTCCCACATAGACTTTTATGATCAAGGTTTTAATTTTTTTTTCCTATACTAAAATATAATCTATTACTATTAAAAGGGGAATAACAAAGCACATGGGAGTGTCCACGTAGGCAAAAATAATTAGCCTATCAAATATTTCATTTTTGCCATGTCAACATCAATGCAAGGCGGAAATATGTCGGGTTCATGGCCCACTCCCAGTCAAACCAAGCTCTTGGTCCAACTTTAATGAAAAAGTAACCGACTCTTCATCTTCATTCTCAGTGTATACGATTCATGTTTCTTACTAATACAGTCACCCTTATGAAAGGATCTATTAGTACGAATCGAGTTCTTGGATTAAGGATTCGTGTTTCTTATTAATACAGTCACCCTTATGCAAGGATCTATTAGTGAGAATCATGTTCTTGGATTAGGAAAATTCAGCCCTAATCAATACTAGGTCGTACACCAAAGAAGTTCTCTGTTTTGCTTCTGTTGTGCGTCTCACTGGTGGGCTGAAACATAATCTTACCGATTGTATCTTTTTTTGACAAAGAAACTCACGGGTTCTGTCATGTCTTATTTATGTATGTGAATCTTATCCATGAGTTGATTATCCGTGATTGAGTAATTCACTGAAAATCTGTTTTCAGATTATTATATTGACTGAACATGTAATTATCTAACCGATTTTACTTCTACCTGCAGTACTCTTCTGTTCTAGCACCATTCTGCAAGACTGCGTCATGATGGGTTGGGTCAGGTATATTTTGAGAAATTTTATAAACACTAGAAACTCTTAATTCAGCTTTTGTCTTGGTTATTCAATGTGTTATTTTGTGAATGCGAGAAACACTTATGAATCTCTTCCTTCACAACTAACTACTTGCACTACAACCTTTATCATCAAGCAGAGAGGTTAAGATCAAAAGCACCAAGATTTGAGGCACATTCCAGCCAACATGTTTATCTTTTATTAGTTACTAGGTAAGTACCCATGCTAACATGTTAAGAAAATTTTGGTTTAAATGAAACTAATGATTTATGTTTGAAACTAGAAGTTTTTTTTTTCCTTTTGTTTTAGAGTTGTAAGATGTTTTGTGAATTTTGTCCACCTCAAAAATGTGAAAGAACTACCAAATTATTTTGTTGGTTGTTTAAATCTTTGGCAAGTTTGTTTCAGCCACATTTTCCACGGGAGACAGAACATCTACTATGTAGCAGAACCTCGCCATCTACATTCTTAAGAACCCAAGCAGCCTCACCAAGGTCTTTTTATTCCAATATTGTCTAATAGGTTTTCCTTTTTCATATTCCATCGCATATATGGTCTACTGATTCTTATACACTTCGCCACATTCTTCATGTTTATTGCTCTTAACAGTCAACACTCCTCCAAGGTTCGTCTTGTGCATCAGCTGATGACTTTCAAACATTTACTACTCAGGGAGGAAGCTATTTCCAAGGTTACGTCAACTAAATTTCTTATTAGTTTTGCCATGATTTCACATTACATAACCAGTTCTCATAACCCTCTTTGTGCTTGCATATGACAGGTGTGAAATCTATCTTGGTTTAAGAACGTAAAAAGCTGCTTAGCTCGCATTGATTCTCTAAAACGAAATCATAGTGTATAAATACCTAACCATCTTCAAAGTAGTCTGACCTTTTCCAAAGTCTATGTGGTTAACTGAACCTGTTTCTTTATTTGTGGTTTAGAATCTAACTCTGACAGGTCACATATACCTTGCAGTATTACCAACGGACATACGATTGAAATCGGAGCAGGAGATAAAACCTTAAGGTTCTGGAATGTCTTCAGCTCAAGGCGACACTGGAAGTTCAGGTGAAGCCAAATAACTTATCTGCATTAATGAAATAATATTTTCGGCGGAAATAACTTGATCCTTTCGTCTCTATACGCTGAACATGGCACTGAGATCAGTTATCAAGACTGGCTGATTTTAATATCAAAACAACATGCGCTGCTTCAGTGGACTCTCAGAAATGTTGAGGACAGCATCAGTGTTCTCATCAGCTCCGCCAGACATTCCGGGAATGTTGATCTAGATCGGAGGTTCGGGACGAGGTTTTTGAGCGTGTGTATCAGTTGGAAGCTCAGATACCCACTTCGTCTATGGTAGAGAATCTGGAGCTTCTCTTAGGTTGTTGCTGGAGACTGAATATAGATCAGAGTTCTTGGGTGAATAAATACAATGATACTGTACATTGTAGAAATACAATCATGGGTTGCTCATGTGCCTTGCAATGCTCTTGATCAAGAAAAGGTACGACTTTATATCCGCAAACCAGAAATTTTTTAAGCTATGATTTGCAATTTTTTTTTAACGGTAATTATAGCATGTTCTTCTATGCTTATGTGTAGTTTTTATACTACCTCTTATGATTCGAGTATAATTTACAACGCAAGATAAAATCGCAGATTGTGAGATGAAGCTAAAGATAAAGACTGAGCATTTTGGAATACCTGATGATGAGTACTACTCAATTGTGAGTGGGCCGTCAAGAAGTCGATTCATTCATCCATGTTTCACCTACTTTTCTCCCTCACTGATTGCTCGGGTACCTTCTTGGACAACTGTGTTGTAACTGATTTGCTTTCACATCAGGTGGTCCGCTTCTGTGGACATTATTCATGTCAATGGCAGAGTTGATCCCACCTCTGACATTTTCTCAGACTTATTTTCTAAGACGTGGATCAGATTGGCAGACTTAAGAAAGGCAAAGCTGAGGATTCCCATTGCAAAGTTAAGGTGAACTACTTAGCTCTCAAGCATTTCATAACCCGCGCTCAGCTCTTCTTCACAAGAGTTATGTGACATTCTATCTATGAGACAGGAGGAAGCCGCAAAATCTGCCCTGGAAAGAATCCAGGGAGCCCTTCTTAATAACCTGCACAGTCAGTTGCTTTAAAGCATCTCTGCTTCTGTTCATGGTCTACGTGGCAGATATTATTCATACCCGATCTTACTGAGCCAGAGAAAAATACTTACGTTGAAGAAGAACGGGTCTTTCTTTGGATTTTCAGTATAGGCATTTGTTTCAGCACAGGTCAGGATCATTGTCTATTTAATACATCATTTGTATGCATTCAGGCTTCATGCATGTACTTTACTTAAATAAATCTTCCTTTCATCGAACGTAGGTTGGGGATGAGTTGAACTTCCTCTTGAAGAACGGAAAGAATATTTGAATTCGCTAGGCATTTCCAAAAGTGGCGAGGGAACCTCATCAGGGCAGTGTATAGTCTGCTAGGTTTTCAGACGTACTTCACTTTTGGTTAAAAGGTAACAAACATGTTTAGACAGACATTAAAGCGTATTATTTTAAAACATACACTTCTTAAAAAAACATCGACTCTCTATGCCAGGAAACAAGAGAATGGACAATACATGCATGTGAGATTTCAATCAGTAGAACTGAGACACATTTTTACCCTCTTAATGATTCCATGGTACAGTCATAATACTCTATGTTCTGAACATTGACCTCCTGGTCATTAAAACTGAAATATTCGACTGTGTATCATTATGTTTCATTAGGAAACAGGGCATCCTTTCAATTGTTTCTTTTTGGGTTCAGGTTGCATATGAAGATTTTGTCTCTGGTGGCTCTCTTGCTGCAGCAAAAGAGAATAGACTTTTGTGAGTTCCTTCCCTGATGCCATAAACTGAACTCATGCCTAGCAAAAATTTTCGTGATTCTCTTGCTCACTGGGAATTTTCATGGAAATTTTCTGTTCTTTTTTGTGCAGCTGATATCTGAGGGTAAAGTGTACATTGTTAAGGAAGGATATTTTATGCTTCTCCCCTTCAACATATAACAGTACTCTGAGATCTCAATCACTTTATTCACAGAACCTGTTGTGTTTATGCACGTCCACTTATATGCAACGAGGGTTTCATTGCTCTTGGTTAAAAATAGTGCAGTGATATCTTTCTTCCACTTTTTACACTCAGAGAACATAACTAATATGAAAATAGAAGATATGTAACTCTTTAGAACAAAAAGGCTCGAGATTTTGACAATCGGAACTTTATGCAATATTCATGTGAACTGAGACCAGTCATAGCCTCCTTTGTAAAAACATTTGGAACAATACCCATTAAAGACCATTGGAAGTATACGCAAGTTCTATTATGAACAACCATCGTATTTTGACTATTTTCTTATGTAGCTAATATTTTTATAAACTTTTGATTACATTTGGAACGTAAAATCTTCATAAGTATTTTGGTTAGATTTTTCAGAAAATATTTTGAGGCATTGTCTGATGTATCCTGAGTTGATGCCTTTCCCGTATAAAAACATATCAAATAATGATTGGTTTATATGACTACTTCTGTATTGTTTGCGAATAAACTTTCCCGTATAAAAACATATCAAATAATGATTGGTTTAAATAACTAATTCTGTATTGTTTCCGAATAAATTCTATCTAAGTATTTTACTTTATTATCATTATTTTATTTCATTATTTGAAAAAGATTTAAGATTAAAATTTTGGCTACTCATCATCCTTTAGATTCAGATTCATCGTTATAAATTTATAAAATTATAGAGCAGAATATAGATTATGTTTGACTTACAAGTATAGCCACATAGTATTATTCACCACTGTTTTGCCATATTTATGGTGTAAATTTTGTTTTACGTAATCAAAGTTTCAAAATAAAATAAAAATTGTTCGATTGACAAACTTACCCACAATAACTAAAGTTGACCACAGTATTTGAAATTGTTGAATTTTCTTATAAACTTAAAAGTTTGGTATTTGAATTTGACGGATACGTGTGGTGATTCAAATTGTTAAAATTAAAAAAGGTTATATATTCTAAAATATATATTTTAAAAAGAATTGCTTTTTATAAAGATGATCAGTTAGTATATATTGAACATTTTATTCCGATTCAATTCTCATATAAATATCAAGACAAAAATATTTAATTCACCATTTACTATATATATATATATATATACTGTTAGTTAGGGATACTTATCGATTTAACAGACAACTTAATGTTTATACAAATTATTTATTTTAAATCCAACAATTCTTTACAAATTCACATATATACATATTCATATTATTTGTAGTTAACATCTAAGCAAACAACACCTACCTTTCAGAATAATAAAATTGCCAACTTACCTAACCAAAATAAATTACAAATAGTAAATTAATCACGCAAACAAAATCATATTGCAGTTTGAAAAATTAACTTGATGCAAGAAATTAATCGCCACAATCCATTAGCTACATGTTAAACACTTAAAAATCTAAAATATAAAAGCTAATTATCCGCGCGTAGCGCGGAAAACGATCTAGTGATTATAAGACCATATGAAGAAATGATTTTAGTTTGTATATATTTTATATCATTTTAATTAAACTATACATCGTATGAAAATACATACTTATATCTTGATATTTGCCTGGAACATATATTGAAAAGTTAATATTTTAATTTTGAAATATGTCATTGTTTTTTTTAAATGATTATAAATTATTGAAACTACTAAACATCTCACATTAAAAAATAATCGTTGGTGTAAAGTTTTGTTACACAAATATGAAAATAATCATAAAGCATATGAGTAGAAACCTCATTTAATAAATATCCATATTAAAAGTGTGCTATATTACTATGTTTATATTATTTAAATTTAATTATATATCAAATACAATATATAAGATTGATTATTTTGATTTATTTACCCTAATTGTAAATAAACAAGAGTGATAGTTAAATTTATATGCATACGCCAATTTATTACATAATAGTAACTGATTTCTTAGTTATTTAATATATATATATATATATATTTATTCTTTTATTATTGTATAATATGCAGAAAATATAAATAAATAATAAATATAAAATACTTATTATGCATAAAATGCAGATCTTAACCAACGTATGTATTTCTTTAATTATTTAAATCTTAAGTATTTTCTAAATTCCATGTCCAAACAAACAAACTAAATGAGAATAAACATCAAAATAAATATTTATATCGAGTAATAACCAAAATATAAAAAAACATAACAAGAGAAAAATTGAAGATAAATAGGATTGACACGTGAACCTAAACTTCTCATAACCATAATTAATTTTTAAATTGTTAAATCATGATTTAAAACTGAGTTAATTTTTAATTTGTTAATCTTTTAATTTTTTTAAATCATTATGGTTATGTTAAATCATGACCATAATTAATTTTAAATTGTTTGTATTTGAGAAACTTACAATATTGTTTTTAAAAATAATCTAAAATTTAACATAATTGTTTATAAAATTATTTAAAAAATAATAATTTGTAAAAAAAATACAATTTTCTAATATTAGTAGACAAATAAATAAATTATATTAAATTAGTTTTGAAACTTTATATATTTTAAATGCAAATATTTTACCAACTGCTTCTAAAAAACATTAGGGAACTTGCTAACTCTACCAATCAAGCCCAGTGACACTCCATTTATTTTTCATCACTCTAACACTGAAAAGAGAAAATATATATGAAATCAACTCCATTAAATTCTAAGATTTGATCCACGGTTCTAATTACAATTGTTTCTGCTCCAACGTATAGATAATTATATAAAAATTCCAAAATTCTAAAATTTCAAATACATACAAAATAATCATAATGTAAATTTTAAATTTGTCAATACTAAAATTTTATATTTTAATTTCATATATTCACCATGCGTAAGGCGCAGGTCTTATCCCGGTGTATTATTATGATCCCAAACCATGTAATTATATACAGAATAGACTATTCTGAAAAATCACACACGATAAAGCGACTCATTTCCGCAGATTAAATAGTTTATTTGTATTTGTTTTCATCTCCACCTGCATTATTGTCACGTGCCGCGCAGAAACTATATGTATTTTAAATTAAAATAATAATTAAAAGAAGAAAGAAAAATCTAATATCTTTCGCGGTGGTGGTAGATCTGAATCATCAGAGATTCGACCGATTCAAGTCGTGGGGAAGGGGCAGGGTTTTGATTTGATTCTCAATCCTGTTCTTTTGCATCGGATCATCTTCTTAGAAATCAAATCGGCGATATGAAAGAAGGGAAATCTGGCAAGTCGAATCATTACCAAGACCAAGATGAACAGATTCACCACCAAAAGAGTCACCTTGGTTCTTTCAAATTCGCCAAACTGTTCGATTCTGAAGCTTCATGGGACAAGGTAAACTAGTTTTCCCTTCATATACATACTTTCTAGGTTTAAAGTTGCTTCCTTTAATCCTGTCTCACAAGAATAAGCTTTTAAATTATGAGTTGGATCAATAAGATAATATTTAATTGTGTTGGGAACAGGACCAACTAGGAGATGTGTTGCATTGGATCAGGCAAGTGGTTGGATTACTCTGTGGATTGCTTTGGGGTGCCATTCCTTTGGTTGGTGGCATCTGGTTACTTCTGTAAGTTTCTTCTACTTTTGTCTTTTGTCTCCAATGTACAAGTATGTCCAGAAAGCATTGAACCTCTTTAGGATTTCTAGAAATCTGTTGCTTGATGCATGGACTCGGATCAATATCGTTTTAGTTTCCCCTGTCTTTGATCTAATCTATGTTGCTCATCAGAAAAACTCTTAAAGACCATCACTTTTTCAGACGATGAGAAGCTACAACCGTTACAATGTTCCTTATCGATCTACTTGTGTACATGTTTGCAAGAAAAGACTTATAGAATTCTTATTTTTCGGTTGTACCGTAACATCTAGGTGATATTTGTTTGATATAATAGCCAATGTTCAGTATTGTTTTTTTTTGTTGAAGTGATTAGTAGAGTCTTTGATTTTGAGCTAAGCTTATCTGCAATGTTGAGTTTTCTTAAAAGGTTACATTGTTGACTGTGTTGGCAGATTTCTGGCAATATCTTCGGGTATAGTATACGGTTACTATGCATTGATTCTGAAGATCGATGAAGAAGACTATGGTGGTCATGCAGCTCTGCTTCAGGATGGTCTATTTGCTTCTCTAAGTGTATTCCTGGTATCTCCATTTTCTCTCTGTCTCTCTAATCTGAAGATTTTCATCGTTATTAAAAGTTGTGATGATTTATGTTTCAGCTTGCGTGGATTCTGGTGTATAGCTTGTCTAGCTTCTAATAGAGAGAGACACTCTCTCTTGCGCTTAAGTTGGCTTTAGCCCTGCTGAGAAGAATTTTAGCAGAAGGGTGGCATTTCATGGTTTCTCCGATGACATTCTCTTGACGCTTTTGTTTTCTTATAATTGGAACTAGCTTCTTCGGTAGTTTGTTTTCTAGATTTCAATGGAACTTGTGGGTTTCCTTTGGTTTTGTCAACTATTTTCTTTTTACTCTTATGTAATAATAAGCCAAATAGTATGTGTTTATGCTACAAATTGGTATTATTTTTACAGGGTCTCTCCAAATTTGGAACCAAAAAGATTACTAGCAGATTCTGTATAATACAGTCTTGAAGAACGGAAATAAGATAGGAAAACCACAAAAGAAACAAAAACAATGCGTCTGCCGGGAGTCGAACCCGGGTCTATTGCTTGGAAGGCAATTATCCTAACCGTTGGACTACAGACGCTTTGATGCTCAATCCATCAACATAAAAAAGTTTAATTTGATATTGGCAGAGGCAGAACTAATGCTCAACCAAGATCACAATTCTAAAGATTGTTTTTTTTCATCTGAAATTTCATTTACTATAAAGTTTAACATTACAACCGACCATACTTAATACAAAAGCCAAAGACCAAGTTAACATCCAAATCCTTCTTCCGTTTCCAGTGCAGACCTTGCAAATTAAGCTGTTTCTTGTTCAATTTATTATGCTTTGTTGAATTTTGTAACGCTATAAATCTTGTACCCCTAATGAACCATGAGAGACAATTTGTATCTTGTTCCTAATATCTTAATGTATGCAGTATGTTTGTTTACATTAAAAAAAAAAAGAAGTCACAACTCACAGCTACAAAGACAAAAGTTGCTTCAATTTAAATTCTAAAGTAAAAGACAAGCGTAACCAATCGGCCTTAACCAATGAACTTGTTGTATCTCAACCACTGAATATCCCTTGAAATTGCATAAATCAAACAAAACCAACTAAAAGAACTAATGCCTTTTCTACCATCACAATCACAACTACTACATTCATTTCTCTCCCAAGAACTTGAAGAAAACAAAACAAACACACATCAAACACAATCTAATATCAATGCCTATCAAAGTAAGAATCCCACTCATGCTTCTCAACATTCCCAAACACATTATACTTCCAAGAATACTGCTCCGGAAACTCAAAAATCTCTTCATTCCCTTCCTCAATCCTCTTCCTCAACCCTTCCACTCTCTGCAACACTCCATCCACAGCCACATCAAACGCATCTTCAAACCTCCCAGCATCTCCTCTCTTACCCGAAGGGTTAAAATACATTAACCTTGGTATCAACCTTATCACTTCTTCTCTCATCGCCACAACTTTCCCCCTCGAAATCCTACTCAAAACCTTCTCTATACTCGCTTTACCTTCTTTAACACTCTTCTCCGGTATAAAAACAGAATATTTACCGATATCTTTCGGTAAATGCCAAATGTACTGCGCGTAAGCTGACCCCGGATGGAAGAAAACCGGTATACAACCGGCTAATATCGAATCAAAAGTGGAACGTCGAGTGTAGGAGTCACCAGGTGGTTGGAGACAGAACGTTGAGCTCAAGAAGAACTTCATGATCTGGTCGGGTTTGTAACATTTTTGAGAACCTGAAACGCATTCAAGAAGCTTGCATTTTCTTCTGGAGGCTTTGCATTGGTCCATGATCTCGGTTCTGATGCTGTCACCTAGGTTTGGACGTGGCGCACCAACGAAGGAGAATAGGTAACGACGTTTGATTCTTCTCATTCTGAACTGCCATTGGAGGATCTCTGCGTTGGTTGAAGGGTGGAAGTAGGTTGGATACGGAACCGCGAAGCCGTGGTAGTTCCATGGGCTTGATTCGATTAGTAACATCGTCATGTTTCTTATTTCCGGTAAGATCATTAACCTGGCTAGGTCAAAAGAGAGAAACAACAATGAGAAAGCTTGTCCAAAAAAAACTAAAACATTCAGGAGTGCTCTCTTTTATGTAATTCTCCAAGATTAATGATATAATATATGATTATGCAACTACTTTGCTTTCATATAATTCATCAATTTTTATATGTTCTTGTGTTCTTAAAATGCTTAAGCACTTTTCACACTCTCTCTCTTCAAATTAAGCACCCCTCTTCTCCTAAGCATCTTCCTAAGCACCCTTGGATAATCATGCTAGTAGTAACAAATAACAAGCAAAAGTGAAACGTTATTGATATTACTACAACTAATATTTAGTGACATATAATTTATGTAATATTCCAAGATTAGTGAAATATATATATGATTATGAAACAATTTTATCATTCAAAGTATCCATCAAAGTTTAAAATGCTGCTATTTAGCAAGTTAGTAACAAGTAAAAGTGAAATGTTATTGATTATACTAAAACTCTTGTGCATCTCATGCGTCATTACTATTATACATAGCTATTCTACAATTCGTCACATATACTAGTCATCACCTTGGCTTTAATAAACAGACTACGATTGGTGACTTACCTGTTGCCCCAATCAGATTCATTCTCTGGTGTACGCATAAAGTCCCAAGTGGTACGACCAGCCACCATGAAATGATCTCGACCGTCCATTCTTTTCCACTCTGAACTCTCTCTAAGCCACTTCATCAGATCAAGTGCCGCCGCATCTCTCATGAAAGGGAACGGTCCCCACAAAAACCTCATCAAATCTAAACCTGGATAGTAAGGAACATACACCGCGGAAGCCAGAGAAGAGTCTTTGGTCAAGCACTTGTACTGCTTCATCCTGTTATGGAATATAACCTCTAATGTGAATTGGTTTGTAGCAAACCATCCAGAAACTCCCTCCATATTTGGTAGACGAGGGCCTAAACCGAAGTTCGATGTTAACTCGCACATATCAGTCCACCTACTCAATGTCCAACAGTTTTTGAGAAGCTCGTCGTTGAATAAAGATGGAATATCGTGCATGTAAACGTATTTGCCTCGACATGGATCGTTACGTCGCGTTGCTCTTGGCCGTACCATAACTTTAGGTCGGTTTTTCCTTGGGGTTACTCTGTTCTTGGCCTTGGTAACTGTCTTATTCGATGCGACGTGTCTCTGAGTTTTTGGTTCGGACACTGTTTCAGAAGTGTTATCACTTTTGAGTTCATTATCGGACAACTTATTCGCCATTTCATTACCTACTCGCTCTTTCTTGGTTTCCACGTCATCCTTTTCAGAAGTGTTATCACTTTCAAGATCATTAACTTGCTCTTTCTTGGATTCCACGTCATTCTTAGGCTCGACAACGTTTGATTCTTTGTCGTTTGATTGATGATTTTCATCACTATTAACCACGGTCCTCTCTTCATTTTCATTAGGGTGAACCCTTTTCTTCTCTGGTTCCAATCTACTCGAAGGTCTAGCCTTTCTTGGTTCGCGATTTCCTCTCCTGGCCCGACCACTCAAACCCGAGTCGCCTCTCTTCTTCTCGTCCTCCACTTTTTCTTTCTCGAGCTCCTCAACGAGATCAGTAACAACCTTGGCATCTTCCGAAATCTGAACCTCCTGAGACGTATCATTGCTCGTAACAGGAAGAGTGTTGTTATCTGCATCAGAGACAACAGCCTGATCGGATTCTTGGTCGTGTTGTGGGACGTCAACGGCCGGGAGAACAGTCTGATCAGATTCTTGGTCGTGTTGTGGGGCTTTGATGGGGAGATCAATGAGTTTTTCTTGTCGGAAAAATCTATCGTGGGTATGAACGGTTGTTGCGGAGGAACTGAAAAGGTAAAGCAAGACAAGCCAGAGGAGGAAAGAGACCATTGCCACGTACCAAAACTGTGTTCTGTACTTTGAGCTCGACTTCTCCAACGCCATCGCTCCTCTCCTTTGTGGTTTTCTCATGCATCAGCCACCTCGAAACCTAAATCTGTTGCTTGTGGAAGAAGAAATCGTGGAAGGTTTTGATGATGATTCTGAATCTGAATGAGAGATTTAGGGCAAAAGTGGATGTCTTGCAGATTCAGAAAAGGAATGGAGGCTGTTAGAGAGATATGAGACTTGTGAGTGTGTTGAAGCGTTCAAAGGTATATTAATTAGCTAGGTTTTGTAGTAATTAATGATAATATTTTTCCAACAAACTAAGCGTTAATTAGTAGTAACATTTTGGAGGGGGATGTAACTAATCAAGATTTTCTTCATAAGTGTTTATTGGCGTAAATTAAAACTTCTTTAACTAATAATGTTGAATACCTTAATTATGTTAAGAAAATTACACAATTACAGTATTAGAATGTTGAACGTCCATGCTAGGAAAATTACACAATTACTGGGAATGGGATTTTTGGTCAAAATTTAAAACAAACTAATTTTAGTTTCTCAAAAATAGTAAATATGGTCAAAGATATATCTATCTCTTTTTATCATCAGCATACACAAAATCATGAAGATTCTGTAAACCAAATTGGTGATTATGCGTTCACATAAATGATAAACGATGGTTGATTCCTTTCACTACGTGCAAGACTGTCTGTCTTGGGGTATGGATGAACTCTAAGTAGTTAAAATTTCTTTTGAGGATCTTGATATCTTCTAGATATCTTGCAAAGATTGGGTATTCATCTTATTTTAAAACCTTCTTCACCAATTAAAAATAATACATTGTTAAAGTTACATGGAACTACCTTAGGTTTCTCATACACTTCGTTATCTAAATGAGTTTCTCAACCTCCGATTAAAGGGAAAAAGACTGGGTCTAGTATTCATTGCTTCTATCAAACCATCAAATTCTTCTATAGTATTGTACCATCCATACCCTGAAAAGATTGTAGTCTTATTTTCAAGATTCATCTGTAAAACACCATCTCCCTGGTCAAAACTACATATTTTTGTTAGAAACTAGATGTTTTTCTTCACCATGTGCAGAAATAAGAGTTTTAAAATTTTAATTATATATAAAAAAAACATTTGTGAATTTTTATTATTTACTTACAACATTTAATTTTAAATTAATTCTATGTAAAATTAAGTGAAAATAGGTAATACTTTATTTAAATTGATATTTAATAATATTTATGTATATATATTTAAATTTATAATCTTGAAAATATTTTCTTATCTATTTCTTCTAAAAATTATTAAATAAAATTCTAGAAAACTAAGAAAAAAATTGTTAGGTATATAATTATCAAAACGTAAAACTAAAAAATATTTCTAAAATTTGTAGATATTAAAAAAAACTAACGTTATTGAAATTAGAAAATTATATTTTTTCTTGAAGATTGCATAAATTTTGAAGATTTTAAATAAAAAAAATTTATATAATATTTTAAAGAAAATAAAACTAAATAATATTTCGAAAGTAGTAAAATATTATTGTATTTATATTGTTATTACCGAACCTACGACCAATAAGTTAACAACCGACTATTCTACCATTAAGCTACTAAGGAACAACAACCTTGAGCTCTCTCACCTCTTCGTTCTCGAGCTCTTCGACCAAACCCATCTCATCATTTGAGGTAATTGTCTCTGTTTTTGTATTTCATATGAGTTTTTGAGAATGGATATTGGCTCCAAGAGCCTTAAAGTTTCTGAGCATAACTTGTCATGGCATCTTGCTCCAGCTTAGTCTTCACCTTTCCTTGTCTATAAAAATCATTGTCTGCATAAAAAACAAATGAACTATTAGATTCTTTATATTAATAATGATCTATCAGTTATTAACATATTTTAAAAAAAAAAACAAAATATAAATCAACATTAAATGTAATCTTTATGTCATAATTAACTTCAAGTCATAACTTATTATTAGTATATCGTTTCATTATTATTTTTTCAAAATCAATATGGTGGTAACACATGTAAATCACTTCTTACATAATGTATAATAGAGGATCATATATCAGAAATGGAAAAGAAAAAGTAAAAGAGAAACTCATACTCCCTCCATTTCATAATGTTACATGTTTATAAAAAAAAATTGTTTCAAAAAAAATTAATTGGACTTATAAATTTTTTATTGATTTAAATTTGCAGAAAACAAATAATTAAAAAAATATACATTTATCATATATTTTATTAATATGTGTGAAATATCTAACATATGCATTATATCAAAATAGAAGGAGTATTATAGAAAATATTTTGATCTTGATTTGGGAATCCATTGTTTCCCACATATTATTTCAGTCTAACATCCACTTACCAGTTACCAAAGACCTACTAATATGCTCCTACAAAAAACAACCTACTAATATACATTTTTTTTCTAAGAAAATCACCATCATAATCAGTTTTCTCTTTCTTTTCTCAATCTATAATATTCAGAGCCGGCCCTGAAATACGAATCCATTACAATATGTTTGATTGTGTATAAACTTTCCTCCACCAATTATCTCATATAGTCAGCAGCAGATCTACGTTACATGGGATGGGGCAGCTGCACATGCTCGGCTCAAAAATATTTTGGGCCCATGTCAAAAAAATTTCTACATAATACTTGTGGTAATTTAAAAAATTTTGGACCTTTTCATATTTTTTTTTTTATAAAAATGGATCGTTTTCTCTGCTATTTATATTTTTCTAATAAAAATTGGACTTTTTCTTCTAAAATTGGACATTTTTCCTTTAAAGTTGGATTTTTTTTCATATAAAATTGAACTTTTTTTATTTAACATTTATGAAAAAAAATTGGACACAGGACCCATACCCCAATGGCCATGGGTAAGAGTAGAGGTGGCAAATGGGCCTTCCCGTCCCGGCCCGGCCCATACCGCTGCGGGCTTCACTTCATGCGGGTAAGTAGGCGTGGGCGTTTGGGTACCCGTTCGGGTTCGGATCGGGTAGTTCAGATTTTTGGGTATTTCGGTACAGAGGTCTAGAACCCGTTCGGGTATTTTTATATATAGGGTCGGGTTCAGGTATTTTTGTTCGGGTTCGATTATTTCGGATCGGGTTCGGATATTTTAGATTTTTTTTAAAAAAAATCAAATTCGTCATTACTCAATTTTTTTTTTACAAAACTGACTTTTTGAATTTTTAATAGGTTAAATGATTAATAAGTTTGAAAACAAAATTCTGAAAACTGAAAAATACTACTTTAATTTAATTAATGGTTAAGAATTTGAATCCAACTTTTGTTAATGTATGAAATACAAAAGTTTGATATGCATTTTAATTGAATAAAAAAATTACTCTGTCCACAGTATTATGTATATTATATGATTATGAACCATGTACAACATCATCATGAATATTTTGGGTAAAATAAGAGAAGTAAACTAGAAATATAAGGCTAAATATACATATCTTCGGTTATTTTCGGATATCCATTTGAGTTCGGGTTTAGATATCCAATCTCTCTTAATTCGATACCCATTCGGGTATTTTACTACTTCGGTTCGGTTTCAGTTCGGGTTTTTTATCGGATTCGGATTCGGGTAGCGCCCGTGATGTCCCACGGTCTCCATATGGGTTTCCCAATACCGCCCGCAAAACTGATGGGCCTTTGCGGTCAAGCTCGCGGGTCTTCACACATTGCAATATTAGTCTTGTTCCAAACCTCACTGCATGCAATATAACAGAACGGATTGAACTGTGTTTGTAGTTTAGTAAAGATGACTTAAATGTAAGTAACATGCTAATGATCTGTTCAAAAGAAGAAAAAAAAAGTAACACGCAAATGCAATATTATGGAGCTGGACGTGAAGGCAAATGGACTAAAGGCTGGATTGAACTTGAACTTCTCATTCCACAGCTACATATGTACTTAAAGTAAAGATAAGTGAATCAAATGTTTTTCATAAACTAAAAGCTCATAACTAATGTTTACAATTGTTAAATCCAAATTTAAATAAAACCCAACACCAAGTGAAACTGTGAAAGCTTCCAATGCCAAAAGTAAATAAAAAGAAAACACCAAAAAAGAACAACAAATCACTCTTCTTGTTCTCCAACTTCACCATCCACAATTGATTCAAATGATGGGAGTGTCTCTTCTTCCTCATTAACTTCATCTTCTGCAAGTGAGAATAACTGAAGTTAGTAAACTATATATTGAAACATAAAACTCCAAAATATATGATAATGCGAACAATTTACCATGTTCATAAGCTTCATATCCTTTTAGCCAATTCATACTACATATCAGAGTTTGCACATTTTTTTGAAGTAGACGGCTCATATATTTGTTAAGAACTCGCGATCCAATACTAAATGAGGACTCCGAAGCCACTGTTGTTATGGGAATACTAAGTAGATCATAAGCCATTGCAGACAAGTCACTATACCGATGAGCATTATCTTTCAACCAATTGAGAATGTCCAAGCTCCGAAAACTAGTCATGTCCAAAGGTGGTTCATCAAGATAAGATTCTAGACCTGTTTTTCCATTAACAATGTCACTGACTTTGCGAAATGTCAAATAAATCCTATAAAGAATTAAAAAAAAAGTTATTATTTTAAATTGAGAACATAACTAATTGAAAAAAAAAACACTCACATCATAGTTCTCAAACTCCTCTATCGGTCCATCAGCAGCAACGTTCTATTGAACCGTCTCTCGTGGCTCTATGGAAGGTGAGTTTAACTTTGATTTTTTTCGTTGGTTGCATAAAGCTTACCAAGCTTTTTTTTTGCAACTTCTTCCTCTTGGCATCACGTGTACTCATGTCCAGCTTCCCAAAAAAAAATCGATCATTGGAAGCTTCATACGTGGATCAAAGACAACTGCCATTGCGAAAACAAGACTGACTTAATTCCACTACTTATCAAACTTTTCTTTCATTGGAGGCACCATGTCTCTAACAATCTCATCTTCGCTTTCCGCATTCATTTTAAGCCAATCATGGATCTTCCAAACCTGATAAAAATACAAG